CAGTCCTTCCTCTCTCTGGATGAGGAAATGGTTCCATTTGCTAGCAGTTGCAGTGTACGTCCCTGGCCTAATGTTTGATCCACTTTTACTCTCCGTCTCCTCATCTCTAGTCACAGTGTTCTTCATCGTCATTGAAGTAAAGGATGAATGGTATAACACTTCATTAACACTCTCACTCTTCTTTTCTAGCTAATAAGGTTATTTGGTATATGGCCTCTTGGTGACGCTATCAATAAAATGTTGATCCCGTTCACCGACGAGCGTGATACTGGTTACCTGATACTAACGCACACTTACCTACTATTGGGATTCTCAATACCAATCTGGCTTTATCCTCTACACCAAACTAATTCAGGTACATACATGTATATGCATGATATTAGTGTGACAAACCCGTCTCTTAGTATCACAGTTAAGCATGTATTCTGGTGTCCTTGCTCTTGGAGTGGGTGATTCTATTGCAGCTGTCTCAGGGACGCTAGTCGGAAGACACAAGTGGCCTGGGACAAGTAAAACGTTTGAGGGGACCTTCATGTCGGTTGTATGCCAATTTATAGTAGCAGCTGGAGTCGTTTATACAAGTAAAAGTAGTGCAAGGAAAGTGTCAGGCTACTCTATCCTTTTTTAGGTAGCTCTGTTCCTCCTCTCTCTCATTACTCCTGGACTGTGCTGGGCTTAAGTATATTAGTAGGATCGGCAATGGAAGCATACACGCATCAGATTGATAATTTACTGCTAGGGATTGTTCAGTATGTTGTATGCATAGCTTTCTTATGATAGAGAGAATTAGTGAGCAGTACATTGAAGAGCACTGTGCTTAGCTACTAATACTAATTTTACTTTTTAACTTTAATGACAAATAAATTAATATTTCTAACAAATTGAATGCTAATAGTCTGGCCTCATATCTTCATATTTTGGCTTGATCCAGGTTCTTCTGACAGACAGCAACTATCCTGCCTTTGTAGCTGCTTACAAGGTTGTTTTAAAAAATTTACCTAATTAACCACTATTATTCTGGTTATGTGGGTGTGGTTATCATATCAAAATTTTTATTGGACTTTATCATTTGTTTATAGAGTTATCAATGGGAATAATAAAACCGCAATCGGAAGTTTCCAACCCTGTAAACTCTAAAGGCCTCCATACACTAGGCAACATGTTGCTAGCAACTTCTGTGGTTACTTTGATCTTGTAATCATTTTGTTCCAAAAATAGAACAGAATTCTATTCTTAGACACATGATGAAAGTAACCACAGAAGTG